GCTCACCGTGACCAGGCCATTGCCGCTTACTGCGAGGGTTGTCCAGAAGAGACCTTTCGCGGTGCGGCGCGCTGACCTTTCGACAGTCGGCACCCTATAGAATGGAAAAGCACACGGGCCCAGGCTCCCGAGAGAATCTCATCCGTACGCGGCCTCTCACGTCGAGGTGAGTGCCCGTTCGTTCGCGCGCGTCGCGTACACTACAGAATGCGACAGCGCGGCATTCGTGGACGCTGTGCGCACGAACGCGACCTGCGTCCATTTTCGGCTCTCGTAGGTGAGTCCGCACTGTGACACCAGCAGATAACGATGAGTACCGTGGTTCTGATGCTCACAGCCGTATGACACCCGCACGTGCGCTTCTGGATCGATGTCTGCGCGAACCATGAATGGGCCACTTCCGCTTATTGCAACGCTTCTTCGAGGTCCAGAAGAGACCTACTGCGGTGCGTTGATCGTCAGACAGTCAGCACATTGTCGAGAAGAAGAGCGCGCTCAGGGCCAGGCTCCTCGAGGAACCCCAATCTCTACACGGTCACTCACGTCAAGTCAAGTGCCCGTTTCATTCATGCACATCGCGTCTAGTACAGAATGCGACCGTCCAGGCTCATAGACGGACGCGTTGCGGCATGGGGTGGAAGACATGCACACCGGTCGCTAGCACGCTGCAGTCGCATCCCGAGCTCAATCAAGCACGCCATGGCGACGGCGCGGCATTCATGGACGTTGTGTGCGTGAACGCGACCTGCATCTGCTCTCGTAGGTGAGTCAGAGTTGTGACACTAGCGGAACGCAATGGGTACACAGGGTTTGGCACTTACAGCCATATGGCGTTTGCTCACACGCGAACCTCGCGAGTCAAGAATGAACAGTTCTGGGTGCTGCGGCGGTCTTTCGAGAAAAGGCCTACCGCGGTGCGATGCGCTGATCGCTCTATAGTCAGCGTGTCATTCATTGAGAAGAATGCGCACGGGGCCAGACTCTCGGGAGATTGCCACGTCGAGATTTGGCAGACTTGGAGGTATGCCGAAGGTATTTCCTCCTTCATGTTCGAGTGACTTTGAATGCCTGTGTCTCGATACATGTTCTTTTACCTATGAATATGAACCTCATTTTATCCATTCTTTTGTGCAGAGACCACCTGTCAGCCAACGCGAACATCGATGCATGCTGAGGTTATGAACGGCGAGCCACAATCGCAACATCATGAACCTCACAGCTTCGAGATAAGAGGCCCGTACTCATGGGCATGATGCTGTACAGCCATGCCCAGAATCGACAATGAGGTTCTGTGGTCCAGAAGGGAAGCCCTGAACTTTGTTCGGATGTCATGCATTGCTCAGTGCAATTCTTCAGCCGACCGGGATCATTTTTTTCAAGTGGTATATACATGCCCTATGAGCAAGATCAGACAGGATCTCTTGCCGTGATCTGTGAAAAGATGGAGGCATCATTGAACAAACGCACTGCCCTCTGTACTTACCCTGCGGTGCAATCACCCCATGTCTAAATGCATGAATTACGGACGCCGCAACGCGTGAGAACTTACGTAAATTTTTGATACAAATTCCGGTCATCAACAATCGAAGTGGTTGCGAGATTGACTTCGCGTAGCATGAAGTGCATCTAGACGATGCATCGTGGTCTCCTGACACCGCAGACCGTGTGCTGGACATAATCGGTGAACTCGACCAGCTAGGCTGGCGTGGCAGTTATGTGGGCATGAGACGAATCGGAAGGTTCGGATAACACTCGGCTGGAAGGAAGAGATGAACTCTGTGCCGGGTTGCACAGCTGACTGAGACCCGCAGCCGGGTGTCACTCCCCGAGCGCCGGATATGTGACACTGGGTAACAGGAGTTCTGCAGAACATCAATATTCTCAGTCTTAATTTTCAAGTTGGACGGGGTTGATCTCTGCCTAGAAATTCACAAACACCGTGAGGAGGGACTTGAAGTTCCATGTGTTCCCCTTCCCCTCATTGTGCCGCCACTCCCCCCTGCTCCTTACAGTCTCCCTTTTCCAGGATGGTGACACCGTCCCTCTGCACCTCACTGCTGTGAAATGACCAGCACCCGCCTGAATATACCAACAGCACTCGATATTCTTTACGCACCCTCTAGCCTTCAGCCAGATGATGCCTAGCCATAGTGGAGCACAGTGCACACCCAGAGAGTTGCAAGATAAGTGTTGGCATATTTCATCTAGAGCGAGGTAAAATGAAGCAGAGGCACAGGAACATACCAGGAGCTCTCAGTGATGGTGCATGCAAGTCAATCATCACATCCAAAGCATGTCGATCACCACCACGTGCCCCAACATGATCACATGTGCGCGTTCAGCTATACGCCACCTGCTCAACGGTATGCATCTCCCATGCATCCCATCATTCATCGTCGCTCATCAGAAACTTGCCCGATCTGTGCGCTTCGCTACAGGATCAATATGGTTGCTATGAGTGCATCCGAGCAAGTACCTTCTTCATCAGTGCGGGTAGGTGCATTAGATTGCTAACGTGTCTATACAGCTTCATGGACACGAACAGGCAAGTTTCTCAATGCGAACAGCGATCAAGGTTTGAAAAGAAAACTGATATATTCAAGGTAAGCCATATTCATGACAAGATTCTCGAGAGCACTTACGCCAGCTCGCACCAGACCCAACATCTTCGTCGCGAGTTCTACAGCTGGCTGAACTTCCTCCTGTCGACCCTCGAACATGAGCAGCGACATCAATCTTTGCGAACACGTTCATTCTGTCAAGTACGTGACGATGCCATTCATGCCCCCGCATCTGTACCGAGGTGGACTGCCATTGTAGCCGTGGTCTGCTCCACATGCATGCCACCGTCCTCGGGTCATCTCCTAGCCACGAACTGAACAATATGATTAGCGAAAAAGATCCGATGTGCACAAAGATTCGCAGGGTCATACCAATGCTCCTGTGTGACAGTGCTGCAGGTTCACGAGCATGTAGCTTATACAGCCCATGCATTCTCTGACCATTACTGGTGCCTCCACACCTGTATCAAGGAAACTCGCTCATTCTACACTGTGCACGACACCATCTGCAGTTTGCCCGAAGTCACGAACGTGTCAACACCATCAGTGCGACAGACTCACCGTATACAATAAATCGTGAGCTCTCACCTATAGCAGGTCCATGTGAGTGCAGCTTGCACTGCTACTGCTGCCTCTGCCACGACTGGCTGAGTCATCTTGGATGGTCTCTGTACAAGGTCATGGCTTGTCGAAACATCCTTGCCAGTACCTGGCACTCACCTCGAGCTCTCAGCAATGCCTGCTCACGAAACATCACGTGATCTCATCAAGAGTGTGCCCGACTGTCATAATATCTCCTAGGTCGTGAGCCTGATGACACGGTCTGCTCGACTGTCTAGGTATCCATCAAGACATGTCTGACCCAGCTTGCACTCCCATGTAAATGAGAGACAGGCTACCGGCTGTCTAGCTGGTGTCAGCCCATCCGCTGCAACATCGTTCGTGGGCACTTTGTCGCGCAACAGTCTCTGTGGCCCAACAGATGCTCGCAGCATCATTCGCACAAGTTCGGTGCCCGGCACATACCTTGGAGATGTAACACAGGGGTAGATTGTGTCGACCACCCAGGTGCCCTCGATCGTCTAGGGAAACCACATTCCCGGGATGTGCATCGTGCTCTGCCTCACGTTGCTCATGATATCGACCTACACGACCATCACTGCCATTCGCGACACATTCCAGGACCAGGGTACAAATAAAACTCACCATCGCAATGTCAAGCCTGCATGGTTTTTGCCAGCTCATGCCAGATAACGGTCGTGTGGAGTTATTGCATGCCTTGAAGTGGTCACACATCCTCCAAATCTGGTGCCCCTCAGCATATTTGTGCGATGCCGACCGAATGCAGGCCATGGTGGAGCTGTCCTTGCTTATCGTGAATGATTGGAAAGCTCGTGGGCGCGCATGCGTCCATAACGTCCATAGGTACGCCAACCTTTCCTTCTAGGTCCTTATTCTATTGATCTCACCCGATTCGGTCAGAAAGCTTTGATCGAGAGCAGACTGGGAAAGATGGTGCGGGGTCAACAAGCATGGCACATCCTTTTGTGCCAGGTTGGTGACTGACCATCTCCATAGCGGCGAGCTGGTCATACACAAAAATATTAAATTGCTGGAGGCCAGGATAGTGATCGGATAAACACGGAGTGGACTAGAATGGGTGGAGAGTGATTGAGAATATGTTGGATGAAAGGAAGCAAGAGAGGTGATGAAAACAAGGTTCGGAATTGGTGGAAATGCTAAATACTAAGTGGAAAAAGGTGAGTGCCGGATAGACTTGTATGCTATGAAATACATAGGTCATGTTAGTAGTTTGTTGGAGAATAGATGAAATGAAACTGGATGGACTTGGAGGAACTGGCCTTGTGTACTTCAAAACAACTAGTGTGAGTCCCTCTGTGTATGGACTACACTTCAAAGTCCCTCTGTGTATGGACTACACTTGAAAGCCCTCTGTGTATGGACTACACTTCAACGTTATCTCTGTGTATGGACTACACTTCAAATTTATCTCTGTGTATGGACTACACCAACATTATCTCTGCCGTGTACCAGCCCCATCTCGAACATTATCTGCGGTCGTCCAAGCTTCCTATAAAGGAAATATATTCACACACTCTGTACGTACACGAGCATAATCTGTCCATTGACATCCATCTGCGCGACTGCGAGCATGATGCACGCGCGGAGCACTCACCACTCCCATGCCCTCCTCGCTCTTTCCTGCACACGACACGGAGTCTCACCGTCACCGAAGGAAGGGGCACTCACCTGCACGTCAACCTACGGCCTCCTACGGATCCTGGCTGGCTAGCTGCACTGACCCATATGATCGTTGCACGTACCTTTGTCCTGGAGGTAAACTCCTGTGAGCGAGAAGAATGCTCTATACCCTGTTCCTCGCATCA